AATGAGTCCATCAGAGGGGCAGCTCAGAGTCCGAGAGGCTCAGATTGTTTGCACATGTGCAGAGGAGGGAGGGTGGATATGATGGAGCTGCCAGGCAGGAGGAGAAGGGGACGAGCTCAGAGAGCGTTGATGGATGGAGGGAGGCAGATGATCCGCTGGGGAGACATCGACAACGAGAGGAGAACTGGCCTGTGACTGGACCTCATTCATGTGTCCCAGTAAGAGCAACCTGCTGGGCTCGACAGCTGGTTTTCTCTTCCGTCCAGCTGAAGTGCAGACTTCCTCTCACATCACTGAAATGTCCTAAAGATGATTTCCTGTCTTGTTGGAAAACTGACGGCACCCACTGAGGGAAACTCCTCCCGCTGTGTCAGCTGACCGGCTGCAGCTCTGTGGGAACGCCGTCAGCCTGACGTCCAGAAACACGGCGAGAAGCTTCCGCATCAAACTGGCCACTTATCATTCCAGTCACTGAGCAGCAGATTCCCAGTAAAATTCCACCTCCGCCTGCTCACAGGCTCACTGTGTGTAAACACAACATGGATTACTGTGTGTGTGTGTTCACCTTTTGTCCCTTTGCAGAACAGAAACAAATGAAACACATGAATGAGCAGCGTCCCCGAGCAGACTGCACGACTGTAGCTGCTCGCGTTAGCTAACAGAGACCGCTGTGACTCCATCTGGACCCAAACGATCGTCTGTGGTGTGAACGTCCTGCTGATGTCAGCTGTAGCTTCTCGTGTTTGGGCTGCTTTACAGTCACAGTACTGAGAGCAGCAGTTGTGATCGTGCTCAGTGAAACTGTCAGCTTGTTGCCTTTGAAATGGTTGCTTTGAGGACTGAGACCAGCTCTGCGGTTGCAGTCAGTTCCTGTCTTCAAAGCGTCTTCAGTGCATCAGGATGGCAGCAAAACGGGCTGCGATTGAAGGGGTCAAGATGGCATCTGCATCCAATCAATAGCTGTGTCCAAATTCATCCTCCCAAGGCAGAGAAGACTGGAGGTTGTGAAATTGGACGTTCTAGCCGCTGTCTGGGTGGAGTTGAATGAACTCGGCCGTCTGCTCCTTGCTATCTGAATATAACAGGACGCTGGAGTAAACTCTCGACCGTCTCTCACTTCTGTTCAATCGGTTTTCTGTTTGACGTTTATTCAGCTGTGTGAAAAATAACTTTAATCTCAGCCAAACAGATTCACTCAGGAACAAATCAAACACTGAAAAAAGCCAAACAATAACATTTTAAGTTATCTGAGTGACGTATACATCACGTTTAACCTGAGTAGTGACAGACGGCGGTGGGTTTGAAAACGATGAAGCCGGGAGTCCGGTGTTCTCACCCCGGTCAGCTATCGAGCGGGTGGGTAACAGATGTCTTCGAAAACGTCGAAGCACTTTTGCAAACATGTGATGTCCTGATAAATCTGCAGATATTTGATGTTTACACAGCTACTGTCTCGCCTTCAAATGTGTTAAGAGTTTATTTTGTGACCCAGAAAGACAAATAAGAGTAATTTTAAATAAGAGTAATTTTAAATAAGAGTAATTTTAAATAAGAGTAATTTTAAAACTGCCGCCAACGTTGGAAACTGGACTTGGCTGGGCCGCGCTATGAATTCTGGGATAGGTCGGGCCACGAAGGACACACCGACCCATCCTTCAAATTCGGGGGAAATGAAGGACGCATTTGAAGCAGCCGTCGTCTCGTCGCTGTGACGGCCTCAGGAGGATGCAGCCCATGAATTTGGTCACTTGGCGAATAACTGCCGCCCCCTGTAAGAAAGCTCGTGTTACTGTTCTGCGTCTGCAGTGGGAACAGATTTGTTCGTCCGTTCTCGTGTTTGGGTCGCAGACATCCAGTCAGGCATCGAGAGTTTGAGCTCAAAAACATGAATCGATGATGAATGTGGGCAGGAAGCAGGCGATCAGCTGCCGGCCCTTCTTATGAAATGATTCCTGTTTTTGGACGTTCTGTTTCCTCCAGCAGACGTTAATCAGCTGATTATCTACACAGTCATTAATCAGCCGCTGAAGGTCAGGGCTGAAGTCTGTGCCTCCCTCTGATTGGTTATCTGCTCCTCTTCCTGGCTTCCTGTCTGTTTTGTGACACTGAAAAGGTCGCGACTCCTTCGCCTCCACGTGATGCTTAAACGCCGCGTTGAACTCGTCCACACGTGTGTGTGACGACACTGTGGAGCAGCGAGGTGTCTCTGAGGATGTGATGGATGGACGTTTGGATGACAGGTGGAACATCTAATCTGTACTCAGCTGTAGTCTGATTGGCTGGTGTTTTTGCTCCTAACAGACTTTTAGGATCTAAAATAAAACAGCACAGACAAAAACAAGCGTCAGACGCCGTGCTTCATCTGTGAGACCAGGTGAAGCAGCATGACGGAGGTGAGCAGCGGCCTTAACTCAGAGACCGCAAACAGAGCTCCAAAGCTTCAATCTCATGTGGGCCCAGCCAGTAAAACCAGTCGCGCTGCTCGATTCTCCCTTCCATCGCTGATTTCTGTGTTTGAGTTGGGCCACAGACAGACGTTAAAGAGCTGAATTAGGATGGGCACTCGGCACCTTTGTGTGGATTCTGTCGCTGAACGCACGTCTGTCTGTGTAGTAAAGTCAGTGTCCTCCCAAGTGATGGAAACAGGACTGTGAGGGCGCACTGGGAGCGGATGTTGTTCATGTTGTTGGTTTCCAGTCTCACCAGCTCAGGACACGCTGCTGCTGCCAGAAATAGACTCCCTCTCACACACACACACACACACACACACACACACACACACACACACACATGTGAGGAAAACAGTGAAGAAAGCCAGCAGGCTGAAGTGGGAAGTGATTCAGTGGTGTTGGTTCCATAAATACCCAGCAGCCCTGGCGGCAGGCTCAGGAAACCCATGCGGAGCCCAGTGGCGCTCACACACAGCCTGTTTTCTTCAAGAGGGTCGCAGGGCATCGCGGAAGCTTCTGGACACAAACAATAGGAGCGGAAAGGACAACGATAGTGTGACAGGCAGAGGCGAGGACTCCTGGGCCCACGAGGCGGGGCCCGGGTACAGCCTCCAGACCGCCAGGAGCGGGTTGGCAGGGGGACCAGCGTCGGATCGGGGGTTGGGGGGTGGTCAAACACGGAGAAATCAAGTGGTGTGAATGTTAGGACTGTTGTATGCAGTCTATGGATGCAGCTTCCCGTAGACTGCATCCATAATCTGGGATCAAATCCAGTTCAGGTCCTGTGTGTGTCCATGTTTCAGTCTGAAGGAAGTCTGCTTCAGTTTTCAGCACAGACGTGTTAAAATCGCAGGTGGAGTTTACAGAGTGGACATTAATGAGTGCCGCGCTGGTCGAGGGCACATTTAATCATTACAGGGTTTCCCATGAATCATTACCGAGCGGCTGCCTGTTAATGTTTGCAGAGTTTATGAGTCTTTGTCTTCAGGCTTTATGGTTTTGGGAACATGTGACACCAGCTGCTTTACGACAGGATCTGCTCGCTGTCATTCTGCTGCCGGGCTTACCGGCGCCTCAGACTGCTGACATTATTTCAGAAGACCCCTGCCGGCCAATCGGAGAGCTCGATTTCTGTTAGAGCGTTCTGAAAACGTTCCTGAAGAGGTTCAAAGGAACCTGCAGCATCCGTGATAGTCAGGTGTGTCCTGATGTGCGTCAGAGCACCTTCGTCCTCCTGTAAGTCATTAAAGCTGCTATCTTTGAAGAACAATTTATCTTCTGTTCTCTGACAGCCGCAATCTGAAAATCAGCACGACACTGGGCGGCTCTGGAAACGCGTCTCAGCGTAAAGACCTGACAGTTTTTCTCATCGGGTGGAAATGAAATATTCAGCCTTTTCTAAATGTTCCTGCATTTGTAAACAAATACCGGCACATGGAAGAGGAAGTCTCGGCATGGATGTCCGCTGGCTGCATCGAAAGCCCCAAAATATCAGCTGTTATCCCCAGAGGCAAAGTCCTGATATATCCGACGCTGCCTGCTTGTTTACGGGGTTATTCCTGTTGTCTGTCGGAGGCTTCCCCGCGGTTTCATGCAGGTTTTCAAAGTCTGCGATGAGTTTGAGCCAAAAAGAAGGAACCTGCGCCTCAGCCGTGTGGGTGTGGCCACCATCAGAGTCCACATTAAAACTAACTGTGTTATTATTGCTGTTTTATCATGTGATTATATTTATGATGCACACGAACCAATCTTCCACATCAAGGTCAAACTGACAGCTCGGGCATCTTCGGGTAGGAGGCGGATGTGTTGCCATGGTCACCGACCATGAGTGTGACCTCTGCGTTATCAGAGCAGCTGTCAGAGTGTAACCGACAGCCTACGTCAGGGTGGAGTCTTATCAGAGCTCAAACACTAAAAAAGTTACAAAAAAGCAGGTGTGTCCTTCAGGTGTGTCCCGTGGGCGATTATTCATCCTGATGAAACGAAATAAAATCTTCTGAACTTTTTCATTTTCAGCCTCAAACTTGATTAGTATTTTATTAGTATAGTGAGCATCCTTATCATATTGTAAAGATAAAGAACTAATATAATAAATAATAAAAGATGAACCTCAAATGTAATTTTCCAGTAAAACTAACAAGTTGATGAATAAACAGGTTTAATCGTGATTAAAAAATCGACGCAGTGACGGGGCGGAAACGTGTTTTTCTTGTTGCGCTGATATCAATCAAAGCGCGTTACGATGTTTTTCTTAATTTCAGAGCATCAGCAGCAATGATCCGTTTCGAGCAGCTTATACGTCAGTAACTGTGAGAACGGGATTTGTGCGATGGTTTTTCTGACGAGGAACGTGAGACACAAACAGCAGACTCTGGTCTTCGCCCACCAGCAGGGGCTCTGGAGCCAAACTGGTTCCTGTTTGGGCCTCTAACTTCTGACCTGTACATGATGAAAATTGTGACGATGTTTGTAGCTGAATCTGGTTTTGCACAATAGCGTTTTAATACCATCATGAAGCTTTGACGCCTCCCCCCTTCCTTCTTTTACCAGGTCTCTCCCTCCCTCTCCCCCCTCCCCCAGCTCCATCATGCCCATCTTCAAAAACCTCCCAGTGCGCCTAAAAGGCGGTCCGACTCTAGACAACGCCCTATTCATCCGCAGGATGAGCCTCAACATCACACCCCGCCATCATAACCCCTTTGACAATGATGACGACAGTATCCATGGTAACGGGGGCCATGGCAACCACTGGTCACCCGGCAGCTCCCTGCTGGACGGCGATGTGCCGAGGGACCGCAACCCATTTGAGGATGAGGAGGATGAGAACGAGGCCAACGAGGGGAAAAAAGGAAGCGGAGGAGGTTCGGTGAAGGGTTCCTTCAAGTTCATGTCCCCGCTGAAGAGCCTCGGGAAGCTGGGGAAGAACCTGAGGATGTCGGGAAAGAGTGCCACGCTCTCCCCACAAGGGTCGCTGCAAGGGTCGCCCTCACCTTCACCTTCTCAGAAGAAGAAGAGAGGAAGGAGGAGTTCTGAAGGAAGTCTGCTCAGGTAAACGTGGGATTAGAGTAATGGCGATGAAAGATTATGAATGGGCTGAGTTTGTAAGGACGAAATGAAGGATTCACACTGACATTCAATATAGAAGATAAGAACTTGGAAGGGCATTTGTGAATGTTTAGATAGGAGATTACAGGGATCTGTTAGAGGAATTAAAAATCTGTCAGTGTAACGTGGCTCAAGGGGAAGGAGGATTAGAGGCCTTGATGTGGACGAGGTGGAACGATAAGCTTTCTGTTTTGGCGAGTTCTTAAGTTCCAAGTTCAAGATACAAACAAAAATTATGAGATTAGTAAAGTAAAAGTGTCAGCGGGTAGAGACCTCTGTGGGAACTGTGGCGGAGTTTGGTCCGTGACAGTCTCTGACCTTTCTCTTTTTGTCTTCACAAAAGGTTTGCAGGAAAATATCGTGACCCCTCCCGTAAGGAATCGTTAGCCAACGGTGAGCTGAACTGTTCGGAGAGCGAGGGCGACTCGACCAGCCGCCGCGTGTCCTTCATGAGGATGGTGGGCCTGGGGAAGACGAAGAAGGAGTCCATGACTGACCAGTCGTCCCAGGGTCCCGAGGACCAGTCGGTGCCGGTGGAGGAGGTTAAACCCAGAGAGCCACTGTCGGGTAAGAAGTCCTGGCTCAGCACGGCAGAGACACGAACTAGTTTTTTACAAATATAAAAACTTATATTAGGTTTAAGTTTACGGTATCAGAAATACCACGCTTAAGTCCTGACAACATGAGATCGACCCAAGATAATCAGATTACTTTTGTCACACGGTTTGACATGGTTCAGATGTCACTTCCTGTCGATTCCACAGCTAAAAGCTTCTATTGTTAGACTAAACACTTTCCAGTGTCACCACTATGACAGGACATTGTACCGGTGGAAGGAAACTACAGATGCGTTGGCATGTCCACCCATCCAAGAACAACTGTTTGTGTTCTCAGCTGTTTCTGGGGTTTCAGATTCCAGTGAGACCATCAGCCACAGTCAATCCTTCAACTTACTCCAAGCTGCACACAAGACACAGATATTCTGTCTCCAGACGTTTTCAGTAGCAGCGTTATCGTCCCGTTCACAGCCCGATCTGATCGGCGCATGTCGGCAGCCTGTGGCTATTTTAAACACGGACGCTGAAAATCAATGGATGGAGAGGGTCGATGAGGAAGGTGATATCATGGCCAACTGGGTGACGCTGAGATGCTGTAACACTGGAATGTGTGTGTGTAATGTCATAAGTACTGGGCCGGTCATGGAAACTTTGTAAGGGCGTCTATTGTTTATCACACCCTGTTTACGCTGCCATTTGGTAATGAATGATTCAAGAGTGTGTGTGTGTGTGTGTGTGTGTGTGTGTGTGTGTGTGTGTGTGTGTGTGTGTGTGTGTGTGTTCTCAGTTCCTCCACACCCTTGTTTGTATGGTCAAACGGCTTCTCTGCTGCACTGTGTTTGTTTTCATCAGCAGTTATTCTGTCAGTTATTTTCTCGTTCGTGAAGTTTAGAAATCAGTGAATGTTATTGGCAGAAGGAGTCGCAGTGATATGAAACGTGTTGGACTCTGGAATTCTGGGATTTCGAGGCTGAAATTTCAGTCCAGTTTTATTTGTACAGCACCAAATCACAACTACAGTGCTTTATATTGTGATTTAGACCCTACAATAATACATACAGAGAAACCCAACAATCACATGACCCCCTATGAGCAGCACTTTGGCGACAGTGGGAAGGAAAAACTCCCTTTTAACAGGAAGTGTTAGGGAGTTTTTATTGTTTTATTTGCTTATGCTTCAAAAGTTATGTTACACATATTTCACCAGACACAGTTTTCTGAAGAAACAGGAAGCTGACCCTGTGACACTGGGATTTGGGACAGGAAGAAACCTCCAGCAGAACCAGGCTTAGGGAGGGGCGGGGCCATCTGCTGCAAGAGGAGGAAGACATGTCTGTGTTTGACTTTAGCTGCTGATCGGCAACTCGTGCTGTTTGTTTGGTACCTGAGGATGAATTTACTGGGTCATCTACAGAAGCAGAACCTGCAGTCGCTTCTCAGATTGAGGTGAGCAGAGAGCTCTGGATGCTCAGGTGCGGGCTTGTTTTCAGATGCTGCTAAACCACCGTATCAGCGGATCAGGTTGCCGCTGAGCGTGTGTGTCTCTGAAAGTACAAATGGTCCTGACTCCTATAATCCTGTTTGGCAGTGAAACAGAACGCAGACAGAGCTGCACCGGGTCAGGCTGGCCTGAGAGAAAGAAGGACTTTACCTTTGCTTCTGTCTGAACAGACAGCAAACACCTGCCGATCAACATCGAGCAATAAAACACCTGCATAGCAACAGTCAAACAAATCAGGACGAGCACAAACGCAAACTGAACACCTGCACAAGTAAAAAGGAGCCACAGAGCAGCTCGAGAGTCTCAGCCTGGATCTGTGGGAGCTTTCTTAAACCTGAAGGCTCTGCTCCTGATCAGAAAAGTGCAGTTGCACTGATTTGAAAACGTCACGGCAAAACACAAAAGTAGCAAAACGAGTTTGCTTTCTGAGGAAGAGCAAACAGTTTCACACAGCCTGTGCTTGGCTGTCGCGTCCAAAGCATTTGAATGCAGCGCAGCAGAAAGTGCCGCATTTCTCTGAGGTGTGATCCAGTGGAAGCACACAGTAGAGCGCTGCTGACCTGCTGCCTAATGATTTCCTGTGCTGAGTTCAGGTGCAGTCTGAGCCGTGCTGGGGTCTCGGCGCTGGTCCTCTTGGTTTGTTGTCTTCATGCGTGCTGGCTTTTTATCTAAGCATGCAAAGCTGGCAGATGTGCATCAGCTGCTCTGCACAGCAGGTATGCATCAGAACAGGGCGCCGAGCAACAGCACGCCACTGATCGCCGGCCCTCTGTGATTATATAACGCTCGCTGCCTTCGTTAGATAAGAACAAAGGCTCACAGATCGACACGTTTCATATAAATTAAGAAATGATCAAGTTGAGCATTTTTAGGTCCCAGCATGAAACTTTTGTCCCAGTAAAATAAAACGTTCGGCCTGCTGTGCTGCAGTCACGTCAACCTGACAGAAACACCGAGGTCACGGGCGCTGTGGTTTTTGTTTTCTTCTTCTCTGCGCAGGTCGGCTGACCTCTCTGTCATTCCAGGACGGTTACAGCATGTTTCTGGTCATGTGGACGAGGACCGTCTGTGTTTGGTTCTTCGAGAAAGTCGAAGCGTGTTCGCCTTCTGAAGCTGAAACTCTGGAGTTTAAAGTTCAAGCTGAACGAGTTTGAATCGCTTCAGACTTCAGTGAACACAGAGCGACACGGTGCTACAGTCCGCTTTACTGTACATATATTTTACCACACTTTGTTTCTTCGCCAACAGTCCGGTCACCGTAGTAACGGTGATTGGAGCGAAGGTCACAAAGGGTTCGAGTAGTTGGCAGAAGGAGGAGGGGTCAGTAAAAGCCTCGAGGCCTCACAAAGGGGAGTGACGCGCCTTCATTACAGCCTTTTAGTTTGAAGGACTTCTTGGAAGTGACGGAGAGTGATGAAAGACCCGCTTCATGGAATTTACCCCTGACAAACTGCTGTGTGTGCTTCATTAATGCACGCTCATGTTACCGCTGCACGGCGGCTCCGCCGGCCGATTGTCGGCGTGTTGCTGCAGGCCTCAGGAAGAAGGTGAAATATGAAACAGGAAGTCCACTTTAATGGGTCTTAAAAGCCCCAAACACTCGATGCTCAGGTGTCATTCAGAGGTGAAGCAAGGACGTGTGAAGCTGTTTGGATCCACAAACACTAAAAAGCTCCCGTGTCTCCGCTCACGCTCACGAGGCGAGCTTTCACGTTTGAACACGAGAGTAAAACTCAGCATGTTTTTTTTTAATACGGAGGTTCTGATTGGTGGACGTTTTGTTTCATTAGTTTGACTTTTTCTTTGATATTTGGCAGCGTCGCAGGGACGTCATTGACTGCCGTTCTCTTTGCTGCTGTCAGATTATGTATATTTTAGGGTAAAATTTAAGCCGAGTTTTATTGTCATCCCAACGATGTACACCCGAGTAGAGTAGGACGAAATCCTCCTGGATCAAAGTACAACTACACAGGAGTAAGATGTGCTTAGAAAAGAATGGGAATGAGACTAAATCAATACAATAGTCCACAGAGTGGAGCAGTGAAGCAGCCACGATGCTAGTGGCTTTCCAAATGCAGCGCAAGGTGTAGCCAATGACGCGCTCAGCGGTCGGCACAATCCTCTGCAGGGCTCTGCGGTCGGACGCGTGGCAGTCGCCTCAGGAAGTGCAGTCGCTGCTGGGCTCTTTTTATCACTGATGAGTCGAGAAAATAAAAGACTAACGTGAAAGTAAAGCAGTAAATCTAAAATTAGGACACGAGACGCGTCGTGGCCAACCATGAATGATGTGTTCATGGTTGGTGCAGGACAGTTAGAGGTTTTTCAGCGGCTGCACCATCCTGCTGACCAGCTATCAGCTGCTGGAGGACTTCCTGTCAGTGGCCACAGTGGGCGGCTTATCTGACACCAGCGGCTTCACTGCTCTGCCAGCAAACACACACTTTTAACAGGAAACCTTGAGAGACTTCACAGGAAATCTGCACGGAGGCTGACGATAGATCAAAAGTCCATTTTCTTCTCTCCTTTTTCCATTTTTGTTTCTTTACTTGTCCAAATTGGATCTCTTCAGCTTTTCCTTGTTTCCTGGGATGTATCTCCACTGGTGGATATTCATATCAAACATGAATAAAGGTACTGAGGTGAGTGTATGTGAGCCCAAAGCACAGGCTGCTAAGCACTTAGTTTCCCTCGATTCCTTCAACTCTTGGATCTCTGTGAGCTCACAGAGGGAGGATGTTTCTAGCATGGCCATCTCAGATGCAAAGGCCCCACCCACCTGCTGTTCAGTGTGTGTGAGGGGCAGCAAATCATGTCCAAGAGGGAGAAGCTAAACCTGCTTATTTCAGACAGAGAGTGAACTCAGCAACAGTGACTTCACACTGTTGCTGAGTTTTATTTATTAGCAGCAACCTTTTTGAATTCAAATAAAGTTTGTCTGAATAAACAACAGTTGTTTCCTGAGCTGTCATGAAAGGTTTGGCCTGCGTCTGCAGGAAGTAGGCGGTCTGATCTGAATGCTCAGCTCTGCGTCTGAGAGAAACGCGACTCTCTTCGGTTTGACTGTGAAGCTGCTGAGTCGTGTCTTCAGTGACCGTGGGCATGAAGCCGGAGCAGATCTGCGACTGAGCTCAGGAGAAAAATGTGAAAACGCAGCTCAGATTACGCTCCACATATACAGACACAGTACTGCTACTGTTCATGCAGACAGACGTGCAGCACTACACATGAAAAGCACAGGAGTACACTTAATTAAATACCAAACGACACAGGCGCATATAAAAGCAGCTTCGGTTTCGCCTCCGCGGGGTTCACCGGGTTTCATCGTCCAGCAGCCAAACTGCAGCCGCGAGCTGGACGTGTTTTCACATCTGTGTAAAGTGAAACTAAAGACGCAGATGTTTCATCTTAAAATATGTGCCGCGTCTGGCGTTCAGCATCACTAATGTGGACACATCGGCAACAGCGTTCACACAATTAACATTCAGGGCTCACGGCTGGAGCCCCAGCAGCTGTGGGGCGTTCAGGGCCCGAATGACCGTGGGCAGTAAGGCTGGTATCAAGAGTAGTGGGAGGACCAATAGGAGGACAGCATTCGATAACTTTAACCAATGGCAGCATCATTTTGTCAGGTATTGAATGGTTGTGTCCAGTAGTTGTGCCTTTCTTTAAAAAAACAACAAAAAACTCAGTTTTCCATTTTCTGCCTGTCTCACCTTATTACATCACACAGGTGGGGAGAAATGAAGATGTTTGATTGGTCGAAGTCGTGTCTGAACCAAACGTGGTAAAGAAGCTTTGACTCTGGGATCCATTCATCCCCAGCATCTGATGTGAAGTGCACTGTGACGTGGATTAAACGGGTTAGGACCACGAGCGGTGATGGAGGTGGTCGTGGTGGTGCGAGGAAGAGGGTGGAGGGGGGTGGGGCTTCGTGCATCCAGCTGGGAAAGATTTCCTCTAAAGTCTGAAAGTGAACAATGAGAGCTGTGTTTGAGAGGAGGGGGCACGGTGTGTGTGTGTGTGTGTGTGTATTCTTAATTATCCATTCACATGAGGACCCACTAAGTTTTGGACTGTAGTTGGTTGTTGGGACATTTTTTGGGGATGTTTCTGTATCATGAGGACGTTTTTATTCTCATACTGTACGTTTCAGTGCAGACGGGACATTTTATGGGGAAATGCAGGCACGTGGATCCATTTCTGCTCTATTGTTCACTGCTGTGACTTTTCCTCTCGGGGAGTGGGGTGTTTTAAAAAGTCTAAACTAGATCTGTGACATCTAGAAACAAAAGGTCCTTCGCGCAGCAGCTGAGCACGTTTACAGTAAAGGATACTGTGCTGTGGTTTCCTCAGTGCACAGATCACAGTATGTGTGTCAGGCAGGAAATCCACTATTTCCTCATCTATAACTTAAATGTGCAAAAAGTATTCAGAGAGTTCATGTTTCAGTCTCCCTGAAGTTAAAGACACACATTTGACAAGCAACCCCCCCTCCTCCCTGTGACCTTTGACCTCATCGCTGCTGCAGTTTTTACAAACTTTATTCCACCGTCGACCCAAAAACAACGAAAGACAAAAGTTCAAAGTGGGGATGTTCCACTCACATTGTTCTGCTTATAGAGATGATCTTCCTCTGGGCTTTCACTGTGTGTGTGTGTGTGTGTGTGTGTGTGTGTGTGTGTGTGTGTGTGTGTGTGTGTGTGTGTGTGTGTGTGTCATCCTCGCTTCCTCTGCACATCTGAAGGGCCTCACATCCTCCTCGCTTTCTCCACACACAAACAAACACAGAAGGCTTTTATTTTGAAAGAGTGGCCCTGGAGAAGCCGTCTCCTGTGATGAAACAACTGATGCAGGAGAAGACCGAGTTTCCTGTCCTGCTGTGTGTGTGTGATGAATAACTGAGTCATATTTCCCCTGTAATCACACATGCAGTAATGCAGTATCCTCTGTGATGGACATTTTTTGCTCCACCTTCCGGCTGTGACCAATCAGAGCAGAGATAAACACTTTAGTTTCTGACCTAATCGTGTCTTAAGAGTTTATGCTGAGAAATGATTATTAACCGCGAGACAGGGCCGAGCAGTGAACGCAGACCAGCAGCAGCTTCACGTCTTGGTTGAAGTCATCCTGAAGGCTTCGAGTCGTTGTCTGGCAGCTCTCACAGGCCAGCGAGCTCACTAAGGACCACTGTAATGCACTGTGTCTATATCACAGAATAAATGTGCAATATTTATGAATATTGGAACAAACACTATATCAGTGACAATCAAGCATGGACGCAGACAAGCAGCCGTTCCACGCTCGTTTTCCGCCTGTCAGAGCGGATAAGCATGATGCAGCTCTGTCGAAGGGGAAGCCTCCCTCAGTGACATCAGCAGACGCTGACCTCAGAGCATTTTGCAAACTCCTGCAGACATTTTTACAGCCAATAAAAGAGTGAGAAACAAACATGTTCGCAGCCTGAACCTCGAAGCCTTCTGCTCTCCTCACCTAATTTCCCTTTCACGTCAGTCAATCGTATAAAGTGTATTAATGTTTGGAGCATTTGTTCTTTGTTGCGCAGAGTTAGGGTCCAGTTTGATGAGTGAAAGTTTGGTCTTACCCCAATATGACCGTCGGAGGGGCTCGTCTTCTTCTATGCATCAGAACTGAATCATTGTTGTGGTGACGGTTTAATGTCCTCAGGATTCCCGTATGCTTGTTTGACATTCACCTAGGGACCATTTTTGGTCCGAGGACACCACAAGGGTTACAGCTGTCTGTGAAGGTTCTCAGTCATCCAGGTCATCGTAGTCTAAGGAGCTTGGAAAGAAAAGCGTCTGGACAAAGGACCCCCTGATGATCCTCTACCTAATCACATGAGCCAAGGTTTCACCCCTTGGCTCATGTGATTAGGTAGAGGATGCTGTTTTCTTCACGGAGAAATGCCAAACATCCTCCCAAAGACATTTGGATGGATGACGTCTTAACGTTCCTTTGTCTCCTCCAGTCCTGGAGATCCTGCAGCTGGTGAAGAAGCGGGACCTGCTCCTGGCTGACACCCACATCCTGGAGCTGGAGCAGGAGTGCAACGAGCGAGCTGCCGCGATGCAGCCCGAGGACGCGACGAGCCCGAGTGTCAAAGATGGCGGGCGGAGGAAGGCGAAGGATGTGGAGCTGCTGTACGAGGAGCTGCAGAAGGAGCTGTGGGCCGTGGTCAGGGAGTCCCTGAAGTCTCCGACAGCCGGGCCCAACCTGGGTCTGGTGGTCCAGGTGAGGGAACTCTTCTGTCGCCATGGCAACTGATGAAGAACACGAGAATATTCGAGTTACGTCAAAGTGCTCTCGCTCTAACAGGTGCTGCAGCAGGAGGAGCAAGTTGACAAAGACTGGGAAGTCAGCGAGGGAGCTGCCCCAGGAGGCCCGAGGCCTCGCCGCCTGAAGCAGAGGTGGAAGGAGGCGGTGGAGGAGGCGGCTGACGACTCTCTGCCTCAGACCACCGAGTTCACAGCCGGAGAACTGAACAAGTACCTGGACCGGCTCCGAACCCGGGTGGTGGAAGACCTGGGGGCTGCCAAGAGGAACGCGGTGTCCATCTATCCTGAAGAGTACCAGCCCTTCCAGGTGAGTCAACACCTGGACACAAATACACAAATCCTGACCTAATGGAATCGATGTTTGCAGCCTGTAACAGTCCAAGCACTCTAACGTCTGACCTTTTGACCTCTCAGGTGTACGTACAGAGCTACCACCAGGCGGTTGCACGGCGACTGAAGACCATCACTGACAACCAGCTGCAGATCACAGACATCTACTCCCTGCTGGACTGGCTGCACAACATGTACAACAGGTACGCACATGTTTCAGGTTTGAACCGTTTACACAGGACAAACAGACGAACCTGAAACCAGAGTGACCCTCGATTGGTTTTGTCCCTCAAGTTTGCTTGAAATTCAGTGTTGAAAGTATCATTAATGACCTGCAAGGAGAAATAAACCCAAAGACAGTGACATAAAAGCTGCAGATGTGATGGAGCATCAGGTTTAGATACACATGAGTCTGTGTGGACTCAGGCTTGCTGCTTAGGTTGCTCATGTGTACGTGTGTGTGTCTGTGTGTGTGTGTGTTTGTTTCAGGGATGTTCTGGGGACTGTATGCATAACAAGTCCATTCAACCACTCTGAGCTCAGTCCTCTGCTGCCGTCAGAGACCGTGGACAGGCTGGAGCTCGACTGTCTTAACTCGGTCCGGGTGAGAGAGACACACGTATTCTCACCTACCTTACTAACAGTGGCCCGTATAACCAGGCTGACCGAGCACGGACCTCTGTTTTGTACACACTTCTAAAAAAGTAGCATGATGTCAGTGCTTTGTCAGTGATTTGTTGCCCGGTTCTTCCCTGCGCAGGCTAAAGTGACCACAGAGCTGAGTCAGGTCCTGGACGACGAGGAGAAGAGATGGATGGAGACGCTGCAGATCGAGGAGTACCAGATCACTCTGGCCAAGACGGTCATAGAGGTAACCCCCAACCTGCTGCCCCCGCACGCACCTTCGTCACTATGGCTACTGCACACACTCCATGAATGAGTCTGTGCACCGCCGTGAAAAGCGTTTCCTGTCTGTTTAAATACAGGATATAATCAGAGTGAAGTGTTACATAAAGGTCTATTCCGCTGCATTTCGTACGCTGATTGTTTTCTGGGTTTGTCCTTCAACTGCAGCCAAAGTCAACATCAAACATTTCCTCATCTCTCTCTCTGTCACACACACACACACACACACACACACACACACACACACACACACACACACACACACACACATAGACACTCTTTCATTCAAATTTGCACTGAAAGCAGCTGCTGCCCTCTAGTGGCCGAAGCAGGTGTAGCTTAAAGGTGCACATCAGTCACCAAATCAAATCATTTCTGTCTGCCATTCACCCGAGTATGTTTGTTGAGTAAACGACGAAAGCTGTTTCTGACAAATAAAGTTGTTTTTAAAGGTTTGAGGTGTGTGACAACCGTACCGTCTGTATGTTTATCTGTGTTTTAGAGGTTGCAGGCCGATCTGGAGCGTTCGGCCTCCATCAACAGAAGTCTAGGCTCCAGAGTGGCGCAGTGCAGCATCAACGGCCTCGCTGACTTCCTGTACAGGTACGTTCTTTTCAAAATAAGTGTTTTTTTTAAGCTAGTCATTAGCTTCATAAAAATCAAATAAATAACAGAAATAATAGCTGACATTGAAAAACAAACAATAATAAAACCACATGAACAACCTGATGAAATAGAAGTTAGCAAAGCAGATGTGTGTCACCAGTGTTGGTCAAGTTACTTGAAAAAAGTAATCAGTAACTAATTACTGATTACTTCCCCAAAAAAGTAATCCCGTTACTTTACTGATTACTTATTTTCAAAAGTAATTAATTACTTAGTTACTTAGTTACTTTTTAAAAACACGATTTACAACCTGAACAGGTGATAAAGCGATAGATCTTTCAGCCCAATTCTACTTTTTCTGCATAATCCATCATACAAAATGTAATCAAATGGAAAAGTCTCTTTTTAAAACTTGTTTTATTAGTTTTAATCTTTTAACTTTATGCATCAAGCAAAAATTTAATTATCTGCAACATTCACTGACTGGAAGAAATTAGTTTAACATTTAAACCTATTTTCTGCACATTCCAGCACATAAAATAAAATATTTTTTGTGTTTACACTCAGTCTTTCAAATAGATGCAAGTAAAACACAGCAGAAAATAAATAAAGTCAAAGACTCAGCGGTCCTGTTGCTCTATTTTCACCTGTAAAGCAGGAGTGGGTAGGCGGAGGTTTACCCTGGTGCAGGTGTGCCGCGGTCAGTGGAAGAATCCGCGAGTTTCTCTGTGAGTTTCCCATTACGTCGTAGCTACTCGGTGCTTGTTTGGAAGTTTAGGGGTTTTTTCGCTGTAAAAAGAAGTTTTCTTCCCACGCACAGCGGACACTAATGTTTTTGTCACTTTTTATGGAATCAAACTCAAAGTAAGGTCAGTACTTCCACGCTTTAAACGCTGCACGCTCATACTCTCTCTGCACTCGATATATGATCCACTGTTGATCTGCACACAGCTGTTGTCACGAACGGCGCACTCGCTTACGTCACTGTCATGAGACATTCTCGCAAAAAAAAATGACGGTTTTAGTAACGCAGTAACGCAGCGTTCCTACGGGAAAGTAACTGTAATCTAATTACCGTTTTTGCAATAGTAATCCCTTACTTTACTCGTTACTTGAAAAAAGTAATCAGATTACAGTAACGCGTAACGCATTACTGCCCATCTCTGTGTGTCACAAACACTCAGAGACCGTTTACAATAAAACAAAACGCTCTAAGATTAATTTTCTAATCAAATTCTAATGTACATTTTTTTAATTTTAGGGTTGGCAGTAAAATCAAACACGAGTTCAATATGATTCAGTACCATTGTAATCCGTATGTAGTTAATAATTTACAAATGTTTCTCATGCTTGTTTCAATTGTTTTTGCTGATTATTAAGACATCAGCTACAGCAGTGCCATGGTTCTTTTAATACAGCAGGAAAGGACTCTTTGAATATCTGTGTGATCTGACTGATGAATGTGATCTAATGTAAACGTCCTTGAGCTGTAAGATGCTGTTGTTTAGCTTTTTTAGCTTTGAAAGACCAGATCATGATTCTGGTGTATTTGTTTTAGCTTCCAGCGGAAAGTTGAGATGTTCCATGAAGGGATGCAGGCCGGGATGTTCGGAGACCACCAGGATGGATACGTGTCAAGAACCATCGCCCTGGTCAACTGCTGCCCTCCATTCAGGTACAAACACAAGCTCTTCAATATGCGAACGAACTGTGAGACAAACTGTCACGACTCTGTCGAGTGCTGCAGTTCTCAAAAGGGTTTTTCAACTTGTTTTCATTCCTGTGTTTAAATATAGTTTAAACACAGTTTTATGTTATAGTTATATTAACTATAACATCATCACTGTGTGTGTGCGCGCGCATGCATGTGTATGTACATGTTTACATATCTTTGTGGGGACCAATAGTCACTTATGGGGACAAAGTGCCCGTCCCCACAAGTTTGAAGGTATTTTCTTTCAAACTGTGGTTTTTGTGTCAAGGCTACAGTTATGATTATGGTTACGTTTAGGATGAGGGTTAGGATTACGCATTCATTTTTAGCAGCTGAATTTGAATTATGGCGGCACATTCATGTAATATCAGTTTGTACCACCAGAGGGCAAAGTGGATCAGTGTAAGCTTTATTTAATGAGCCAAGTCATTAAGAGCACATTTCTAATTAAAAGGTTAAAGCAAAATAGTTTAAATAACAGCACCACACGTACTGATGAAACACTGCCCCCTGGTGGTGACAGTTACAGTTACTACTGAAAGTACCTTTAAGCTGTTTTAAAATGTAAGAGGACACGTTTCTGTCCTTTATCTGTGTTCTTGCATCCAGATACACTAAAGTTAAAATAACCTGATAAACACAGTGCAGTTAAAGGTGCAATAGTTCCCTCTGAAATGTTGTAAAGTAATGCTGGACCAAGCGCTCAGTTAGAATGATACAGAAATGAAATGCGAAGCACGTGCTGGATGTTATCATTGTTGAGAATGATCAGTTTGCCTTTTTTGTTACACCAAACTTGAAATAAGGATATTTTACAGATCTAACCCTCTGTCGGCTCTTCAGAATCGGCGCCTTCAGTTCCTTTATTGTTCCCAGATGGGTTCGTGGATCCACAGAGCTTTTTAACAGCTGATCCTTTGACCCATAACAATAATGATGGCTCTGTTCCAGCAATTATTGCAATGTCCCGTGGAAATGAACGAAGCTGTCGGTTCCACCCAGACACAGATTAACCTCAGAGGGTTTTCACATTTGACTCCAGGTGACCTCAGCCTTTATCTCCCTTTCAAGGACGCTAAACCAACATTTGGAGCCTAAATTTCTAGCTCAAAGGAACCTAACACAGTGTCCCAATGCTGAGGCAGTTCAACCAGCTTTTAATAATGAAAATAGAGTTGCTCACAAAGGAAAATAGTACAAACAGGACTGCTGGTGACGCCGGACTCGACCTACACTTACAAAACAAAGCTGTGAAAGATAAAGACGGTGAGCTTGTTGGGGTCTGCCCCACCATGCTCCACCATCTCTGGGCTTTTATTTGTGTGGCGAAACTTTAGCAGCCAATCTGCAAGTGAGAGAGCGAGTTAATGAGGGTGAAATACAAACACAAGCAGATGATGACTGGACCGACCGGCTGGGTCGCACACTACAAAGCCAAACAATGAAAGGCCTGCTGATTCGCTATGTGCAGGTTTTATGTTCCAGTGACCCCCCCGCCTCCCTGAGCCTGGCTCTGCCGGAGGTTTCTTCCTTTTAAAAGGGAGTTTTTCCTTCCCACTGTTGCCAGAGCACTTGTTCATAGGGGGCCGTCTGATCGTTGGAGTTTTGTGTATTATTGTTTCTTGACCTTACAAAAGAAAGCACCCTGAGATGAGTGTTGTTGTGATTTGGTGCAAAATGAATACATTTGAATTGAATTAAACTGAATTAATTTATATGTCTTTGCGTGTGCGTGCAGAGGTTTCGTGCAGCGCTGCGCTCAGTGTGATCCGTCAGTTAGCGAGGACTCTCTACGTCGAGCCAACAAGTCTCTGGATCACATCATCCAGCAGGGAGTGAAAGTGCTGTCTGACCGGCTCTACCTGCACATCAGGGTAACACGCACGCACACACACACACACACACACGCATGCACACACACACACGCACACGCATACGCATGCACACACACACGCATGCACACACACACACACACACGCATGCACACACACACACACAGAACGCAGAAACCCGGCCACTCTGAGATGGTCCTTGATGAATAGACCAAATGCAGCCACATAAATAATAATTTGCACCTTCGTCCAGACAAAAACCTCACATTGTATTTGAGTTTTTAAAAGCTTCAATTAAGAGTCAGAGCTGTAATAAAACACTTGTGTCATAGTTTGCCTATAAAGCGTTAGCGTTCTGCTGACTGGAAACGAGCGCCATCGAGCCAGGATGGTTAGATGTTAGGAGTTAAACCCCAGCAGAAGCTTCCACGTAGGGCTGGGCCATATCATACCGTTCACAGTGATACCGGTATATTGTTGGGCAACGATAAGAAAAGGAAATACCGTGATAGAATATGGGTAAAATGCGCAGTGCCTTTGTTTTCATACGCACATGGCAGAAAAATCATGGCGGCGACGGAGAACGAGAAGAGTGAAAGCAGATCGTTGAATGAAACATGAACCTGAACTGGTTTGTAAAAATGCTGCAGCTTCACTGGTGTGGAACTGGTTTAGCTTTCCTCCGTCAGATACACAACAAAGCACTATTTTTGGTAGCGCATGCTAGCGGGCCGTCGTTATTACCGTGTTGTTTGGAAAATACGGCACACTTAAAATCAATCCTTTGATTTTTCTGAAAGTCGACAGAGCCCCTTATAATCCCGTGTGCCTTATGTATGAACTCTGGTTGTGTTTACTGACCTGGAAACGATTTTATGTACACGGCGCTCGAAAATCTGTCAAATGTTTTAGTACGACTTTGCTGAGCTACGAAGCCGCACCGGTTGATGGATTGTCGGAGCGTTACGGCATCGTAGGCAGGAGCCTCGCGGAGTGATACGTGCTGTGTGCTTCAACATAATATTACCGTACTGTGTGTGTATAAGCTCTTTTTAAGTTTTGTGGATATTCTACATGGTTATGCTGAGGACATGTCGGCCAGTTTCCACTGGAAATGCCTTTTGGTTAAACTGTCAGCGAGGAATTTGCATTTGCACTGTTAAATGTTTATATAACTTTAATGCACATAAAAAACAGCTGCTTGTTTCAGTGAAAATACAATGATGTTTTTTTTGTTGCACTAATAAATTTGTGGAGTTGTAAAGTATTTTGTCTAGTGTCAATTATATCGTCAGTTACATATATTTTGAAATGTATATCGTGATAAATATTTTGCTCATATCGCCCTGCTCTACTTCCACGTGTGGAGCAGAAGCAGCTGGTTGTGGTGGTTGAGGGAACGCTATCAGGAGGCTGCTGCTCACTTCATGCCCCAAACCAAAATTGCGGATGCCATAAAGTGGTTCATAGTGCTGTGAAGTTCCTAAGGGTCACGAATGGAAAAAATCTTGAGAGCGCCCCCTATGGGACAGAAGCACGCTGAGTTTACCGTCTGCCGTCTCTGTTTTGCACTGAGGCAGTTTTGATGAAGCTTTTTAGTTCAGTTTGGTTTTTAAACTTCACATATTTTGGATTATTCTTGCAACAAATTGCAAGTTTCTTTTTTTTAGGTTATTAATAGTTTAGTGCTGTACAAAGATGCGTCCCTGTGTAAATGCATTTGGTATTAATGCTAACTTATGCAGCAAGAGAGAAAACATCTGCTATGAAACTTAGCTGACCTGGAAACGCTGCAGGGCTCCTCTCATCTGCACTTCTCCCCACTTTGTGTCTTCGTTCAGCCGTTTTTCGAGCGCCTGGTGAAGAGGAAGTGGCTGACCAACACAGAGCCGTATGAGCAGATCGAGGCTCTCATCAAAGAGGCGTTCAAGAAATACAGCAAGATGGACAGTCCTCCGTATCAGGTACACACATCCAAAACAAGTAAGTGGACGGCTGATGCTGGAGCTGCTGCTCATGTTCTCCACCTCTCTCCCAGCTGCTGGTGTCGGAGATCCACCGTCGAGTGGTGACGGAGTACCTCCGCTCAGTCATGAGAGGCAGAATCATCTGCACCTCCATGAAGATGAGGAAGAGGATGGCTGGTCGGCTTAGAGATGAAGGCAACCAGATCAAAGTCCTCTTCAAAGACCTGGTGAGTTCTGGAGGTCAGAGGTCACCGGCTAAAAAACTGTGCAGAATCTGGAGGGGCTCCGATCTGAGCTTTTAGTGGATTTTAGTTTTAGTTTTTGAGGAATAGATCGACGTTTCAGTTACGTCGTCAGCTAAAAGCAGAAAAAGTCAAATGAACCCAAACCTAACAACGCAACCTAACGGGGTCTTCCTCTTCTTTGACTCTTCACAAACGTTTTTTACACCTCCGTCCGTCTGTTAGGAGTCGTCCTCCGGTTGGCTGGACAGCGCTCTGTGTCACATCTCTGAGATCATCCAGCTGGAGGACCTCCCCTCCATCCAGATGGAGGTCGGCGTTCTGGTCCGAGAGTTTCCAGACATCAGGTAACATCGCCTTGGCCAAATGCTGGAAATCTTCTTCTGCTTCTTGGTCTTGTTATACCTACTCTGTTCTTTTTCTTCCTGTTCTTCTGATTCTTACTGACAGCTTACAGATCCTTGGTGCTCATAAAATTGAAACTGTTAATTGTTATAAATACTAAGGACTCTGGCTGGATGCTGGACTCACTTTTAAAAAGCCCACATGGAAACCTTCCTAGAAAATGAAAGACAAAAATGGTGATTTTATACAATTTCTCTAAGTCTTAAGATAATCCTGCAGCTTCAGGAACATGTACTTTCTAAACATGGACCACATCAAACACAGAAACACGCCTCTTCTTCACTCCTCCTTCTCTCTCCTCCAGGAAGAAGCACGTGTCAGCCATTTTGAACATCAGAGGGATGACTCGGCAGGCAGAGCGTCAGGAGATCCTCAACATCGTCAAAGACATCGAGACCAGCGACAGCGGCCCGGCGACGCTCTCCCGGGACCGCGCCCTCTTCGCTGAGGTGCCAGTCACCTCTGAGGTCCACTGCCTAAACGTCGGCTTGAGCCGCATCGCCCTCACTGCCTCTTCCTGCTTCACCACGCTGCGACCCCGCAGACGCAAAACCCGAACGCCGGTCCAGGAAAACCCCGACGATGCTCTCTGAAGAGTCCTGCTTCAGTGGCTTTTATGACTTTATTAACACAGTTTAGTCATAACGTTTTCCAAATCTCAGTGTGAGGATGTAGACGCAGCGTGTCTGTGAAGGTTCGCAGTCATCCAGGTCATCGTAGTCAAAGGAGCTTGCAAAGCGCATGGCACAACATAGAAGAGCCACCTCCACAGGACAAGACTCAGCAGTCCATCTGCATCTAAAGGTCAAAGGTCACTCTTTGAGGATGCCAATGTTCACATTTTGGACAGAGAGGACAGATGGTTTGAAAGAGGAGTGAAAGAAGCATCTATGTCCACTGTGAGCGACCATCTTTGAACAGAGGCGGGGTTTACGACACCAACTCTCTGCCATCTATAATCCAGTTTTGAGATCCTTCCCAGACGCCTTAACGCCCACTCACATCCTGGGCCATCTGACCTCAGGAATTCGCATGATAGGGTGGGGCCAGGTTTCACAATGAACACACCCGAAACTCTGGCTGATTGTGACCCACACCCAGTTTCCCACCTTGGCTCAGGCGATTAGAGGATCATCAGGGGGTCCTTTTGTCCCTCTGTGGGGGGAAACTCCCACTAGGTTTATATCTGGGACTCTCCACCATTTGACCTTAGAACTGAAGAAGCTTCTCGGATGAGAGGTGAAACGTCTTCAAGCAACTTAAAGAAGTCCAGACGCTTTTCTTTGCAAGCTCCTTTGACTACGATGTAGACGCAGACACCGACAGGATTTAAAATACGAACGTGTCGCAGCATTTTTACCGCGTGGCCTCACAGCTGTGCCACTGGGACTGATTTAGACCATCAGAAATCAAAGTTTCTATTCTCTTGTGTTTAAGAAGCAAAGGGAGGAAGATTATGGACTCTACTGTGAGATCAGCTTTTAAATCGCTTTGACTTATTTACTTTTTACCTTTGAGGGATCCTGCTGAGAGGAAGCCTGAACAGAAATCGCTGCTGGATGAGGAGGGATGATGGCGAGCTGAGGAGAAACTGGACTGAAAACGAGGCGGTGGATTGGATGTCTGCATTTGATGATGACCCAGTGACTGAGTTAGGACAGGAAATTATTTCTTTGATTGGCTGTTTTTCACGGTTTCCTGCAGGAACACAGAGGTGGGGAAGCCGGGTCTGTGCGGACAGGAAGGTTCAGTTCGGACCATCAGGGCTGCTGAGGTGTCCCGTTACTTTCTGCACAGACTGGAAGCAGCAGCTCAGACTGAATGTGGATGGGCTGGGACCTTGTTAGAAATATGAGCCTGGGTCCAAACCCCAGAACATGGAGAACATTCCCGACATGAGCATCTTAGTTTTGTTGCACATGACGAAAGAGAGTTTGAATCACAGGTACTAGACGATGATCTGAGTCTCTGTCGCGCTGACTGTATTTAAAGCAGTGATTCGAGTCAAAGCTTTGTGGTGTGATGACGTTTATATTGTGTCTTATTCTTTATTTGATTCATGTTAAGATGTGGGGAAATCAGAGGGCTCACTCTGGTGAACTCTTAGGGGCTAAACCTTTCATATATTAATTGTTGTACTCTTCCTTCCATTGCAGCGTTTTGGTCTTTACAGCAGGAAGTCAATCGTTCCATAACTGTTCATCTCCTCTTTTATTGCATTCCCATTTCTCAGCTGAGATACGTTTTAGATTAGAACCGCTTTTCTCTTCTGCTCTTGTAAATGTGGATGTATGTAATGAATCTTTCTGTACAGAGATCAGTTTAAATAACAATAAAACCGATCAGATCATTCACTGCTGTTTCATTTCAAAGAAAGAGAGACGGGGCATCTTTTGAGGGAGCCACTCCATCTGGAGCACCTTGGGACCAGATGGAGTCCTCAGATGGAGCATCTGAGTGCTCCATCTGGTGACATCATTGTTCACACCACCTCCCCTGATCTGAATCTGAATGGCAGTCTGTTACTGGACAAACATGGCAGAACCCAGAGGTTCCGTTCTGGATTAATCCCAACAACATTTGCCTCAAGGTGCCTTAAGGTAAAGAGCCTACAATAATACAGATCGGGCCGGGCCGATGACTGTACCAGTGTGGGGTCTGACAGTGGGCCCAAGGGTTTTATACCAATACCTGACGATAGTCAGTGAGGTTTCCCAGCCTGGGGAGGTTTGTGCATCCCACAACCTTCACTGACCCACTACCAAACCAGGTACTGTTCTCCATGGCTTTTCCAGACCCTTTCACATCTGTCACATGTGCTCAGAGCGAATCTGCTCTCATCTTTTGGAAATGTTTTTACTGGACTCTCTGCAGGCCTATGAAAAACATCGGTGATGATTCAGCTGCTCGTACAGCTTAGTTTGGATTTACTTTGAATCCAGGCTGCCTGCGACCGCTTTATTTCTGCTGACCAATTCACTATGGAATAATGATGTTATTGCTGTCATTGGACCATACACAGCACATAACCGTCAAAGTTACAGAACGTGTATAAGTTACAGTAAAAAACAATATGTGAGACAGAGCACCTTGGTTACTATAATAACTCTAGTTCTCTAGAGAAACAGTGATCGATGAGATTCAGAGCACGATGACGTTTTATAAAGTCCACAAAGCTCTAGTAGACAAACCTGAGAGTATTTTGAATACCAGCCTCCTTTCTGATGTCTGACAGTAAAACAAAGACGGGGTGAAAGTTCGATGCAGTTTATTGAAGCGTTGTCCATCCACATAGAGTAAAATATGTCACAAGTGTTAGTGAGGCGTTTCAGTCTACAGAGAATAAAAATACCAGCGACAGATTTTAATACCATAAGAACATAATCAAGACACAGTGACTGCCCCGCCTCTTCATCCTCGCAAAGACTCATGGGAACTGTAGTTAAATCTTGGCTTTGGTCCAGATTTAAATGACTCAAACATTACAGTGAGTTTTATCTCTGAAATAACGATTCGCCTAAAAAGAAAACGTGACGCGAAAACGTCGACCTTTAACAGTTTAATGAAGGAGGTCAGCTGTGGCTGAAATGAGTCACGTGATCTTTGGCATTTAACTTTGGTGGAGAATGTGGGCGGGGCTTCAGGGTGTCAGGGTTTACAAAATGAAATAAAAATCTGTATGATTTTAGCATCAAATAGCGTCAACATTAATTTCAAGCTAAATAAATACTCTGATGAGGTTTACAGTAAAAATATAAAACTGTGACATTCAAACATATTTACAAATCATCACGAAGAAAACACTGAGCCAGACCAACGACCCAAACAAAGAAACCGAACCCAAGTTAGAAAGTCTCCACTGTAGATTTGACCAAAAACGAAGTAAATATAAATGCATGACAGTCATTTTTGGTTTAATTCTCATCAAGGCATTTATCAGTAACAAAAAGAAATGCTAACCACTGATTAAAAACCAGCATCACGGGACGAATGTGCAACATAAAAACAACACAAGCCTTTCCCAGGCCTGTGCCAGGAGCACCATTCAAGGCTTACAGAGGCTTAAGCCTGTGTTTGGGGGATACAAAGGTGCTTTACTTCTTATTCAGGTACATCATGATGGTAAGTTGTGCAGCAGAGCATGCTCGAGAAGAAATTAGAGCATCCCAGAGATCCCTCAGAGCTCAGTGTGCAGGGGAAAAGACGAGCGGTCTACTTTGTAAAGACAGCTTAACGTCTTTGTCTTTGAAACACTAAGAAACATGTTGCAGGAGAAACTTTATTACCAAAGCTTTGTCTTCCAGATGAGTAATAAAACTATTTAATATATATATTTAGTGTTTGCTGTTTGAATGATGGTGCTGATCTCCATCTATCACATTCACTATGTAGCTTTCAGCTCGTGTTGTGTGGAGAACTTGTTCATACTTTTCTTATACAACATTTTTGCGTTTGTTGGAAAATCAGCCGCTCTGCTGCCAGTCGTCTGTCCTGGTTTCTGATTGGTGCACGTATTGAGCTGATGACCACCTTCGTCTAACCTCTTAGCTTGAATGAAGCTAAAGCTCAAACAAAGACGATGAGGAAAAGAGATCTCGGGTATGCTGACCCGGGCTGCCGGTCCTGGTTCAGTCTGGCAGTGTGACACATCTTTAGTGTTTAAATGAGCCACGAGCTGAAAACTCAAACACATGATTAACAAACATGGAGATGATGGAGAAGCTCCAAAGACACGTTTCAAGGTTTATTCTCAGATATATTCACAGCTTCTCACACTATTCTTCCTCTACTTATTTATAAAATACTGACTGACCAATGACATGGAGTCACTGCCTCGCAGCTGACCAATCAGAGTGATTACAAGCTCAGTCATAATGTCTCTCAGCAGACCGACGAAAAGGGTTTCCAGGCAGTCCTGACCGGGCTGTGGAGGGGCCGGAGGCGGGGCTGGAGGCGGGGCTAAAGTTGTTTGTTTGTCATTGGTCTCTGATGAGGAGAGAACGTCATCCTGGCCAGTCAGCTGTTACAGGATGTACCATCAGCCCTGACGCAACAGCAACGCAGCATATTAACTCTGTAACTTAGATCCTGATGCTTTATTTTGTTTTTGCAATAATAGAATTATAATAAATACATGAAACCTGTTTCAATCAAATTTACAATAGAGGAGGGACAAACTGTTACAGATCAAAGTGGGGTTGAACATGTTTGTGTGGTGGACATTGGTGTTCAGTAGGTGGATGAAGGCTCATAAAGAGGATGATGACATGTAGAGGAGCTCAGAGCATCTGAGACCACTTCAAAGACTCTCATCCCAAAAACAAGGTCACGTGGCTTTACAGACGGTTCCAGTTTTTGCTTAGATTGGGACTTCATTCCAAATTTAGTAACGTTTCAAACAAAATTCTGTCGCAGATCCAAACTTCAGGTACGGATGACGCACGTAAAAGAAACGCAGAATGTAACATCGGGATGCTGGAAGTAACAGGAAGTAACAGGAACGATTACGAGTACTGCAACGATTCACCGAGTTAAGTCTTTGAAATATGATGCCCATATAGGCCTCAGTTTAAAAACACCGATAACACGAAGCACTGATCAGGAAAGTCTGACGTGAAGAAAACAAACTTTAGCTTCGACACACACCAACGATTTCTTTTTAACTGATACATATTTAAACCACACCGCCTGTTTCACACTGAAGGTACCTGCAGCAAACAGGGGTGAGTCAAAGGGGGGGCGCGGGGTGTAC